CAAAGAAATATGGGCCAACGACCCTTTCGGACGATACATCGCACCAAACAGTACACTTAAGAAGGTGTAATGATCGCTGATGAACTGCTCTTGGATTCTCCGTAGCCCATATCCTGCAGTTTTGCTTTTTGACGAAACCATTTAATTGGAAATGGGCTTCATCGCTCAATATTAAGTTATAAATGAAATTATTCTGCATTTGGCCGAAAGACAATGGCATATTCAAGTCGCTATTGGTAGTCTATCGCTTGAATGCTTGCACAAGTTTTTATGGAAACATATATGCATGTATGCAAAATTCTCTTCAGTGACCGTAGTGATAACCCAAGTTCTGTCGAACGTCTCGTTGTTGAAGTTTCTGGACTGTCCTGTAATCTCTCACGTACACGTTCAATATTTGCATCAGTTTGCAGCATGCGTCGTCTTCCAGCACCACGACGGTTCAGTAATGTCCCGTGTTGTCGAAAATTTGCAACGAGACTATTTATTGTTGGTACTGAGCGCCCATTCCGCAAATTAAAGTAGCGACGAAATGCACGCTGAGTCAACACAACGGACCGTTGATTTTGAAAATACAATTTCAAAATCTTGATTCGTTGCTCTGTTGTGTATTGCCCCATACTAAATTTTTCAAGCCTCCTTTACTCACTTCTGCAATGAAAAAATACAATATTGAAAAATAAAGAAAATATGAATAATGCAAACCATAACGTTCATTTTGCGTCACCATGTATACTAAGTGGCATATAAATCCGAACACCCAGTTTAAATGGTTTTATTTTAATAAAATTTTGTATAAGTACTTAATGAAGCATAATAAGTGAATGATAAAAATTTCAAAATGATTGCACTGCTTTAAAGCCCTTTGACCTTTAATAATGTGTGGATGCACCCTGATGTGCTACGCATTCTCCAATGCGCCTAGGCATGCTTCTGATCAGGTGGTCAATGTCCTCCTGTGGTATCTCATTCCAGGCAACCACCAACTTCTCTCGAAGTGCTTCTAGAATCTGAGGAGGACGTTGCAAATTGAGCAATCTCCTACCCATCATATCCCACACGTGCTCAATTGAGGATAAGTCGGGAGATCTTGGTGGCCATGGTTACAATGTGACATCATTATGTTGAAAGAAGTCTATTGTGACTCTTGCAACATGTGGTCGGGCATTATCTTGTTAGAAAGTTGGATCTGCCAGGGTGTCAAGATAGGGTAAAAGATGGGGTTCTAGAACTTCGTGGATATAACGCTGCGCGTTCATGTTACCTCTGATGAAGATTAAAGGTGACCTGGAACCATAAGCTATAGCACCCCAAACCATAACTCCAACAGTGTGATGAACATGTCTTTCAACAAAAAACTGTGGATTCCTCCTTTCACCACGTCGCCTTCTAACCCTGGCACGACCATCGTGCATGCCTAAACAAAATCGAGACTCGTCACTAAAGACAATACTGTTCCATTCCTGATCCCAGAGTGACCGTTGTCTGCACCACTCAAGGCGATTACGTCGGTGTTCTCGAGTTAAAGTGAGGACGCAGTGTGGCCGGTATGAAAACAAGCCAAAACTTCTCATTCGTCGGTAAACACTTCGCATGCCAATAGGTCTTCCGTGTTCTGCAAACCATTCATTTGCAATGGACCTGGTAGTGGAGAAACGGTCCCTTAAGGCCCCTTGCTCTTTGCGTACGGCCTTCTCGATGCCATGCCTGACAACACCTAACCACAGTGTCTACACTTCTTTGCACTCTAACTGCAATTGCCCGAAAAGAAAGTCCAGCTTCCCGAAGTCCCACTATACGGCCCCTAACAAACTCACTAAGTTGACGAAATCGTACAGGTCTCCGTACTCTAGGCATCGTAACCGATCGTAAAGGATGTCAAGAACCAAAATCCGCCAACGTTGATTCTTTACTGCGGCTGAAATATTCATTTTTAGAGCGTTAATGAATTAAAAAAGCAGTATAAAAACCGGAATGTTCAACTGATAAGACTGAAAATTTTTTCACTTGTTATTTACAGTAAGATAAATACATTCACCAACTTTTATTAAAATAAAATCATTTAAACTGGGTGTTCGGATGTATATGTCAACTTAGTATATTTGCTGAAACGAAACTTAAATATTATCAAGATTATTTTGAGGATGCTATTCTAGTTTTTAGTTAATATTTGTTTTTGAAAAACACGCATCCACGCTTGGAACTTGGAATCCAACCGTCAGGGCTGGAAAATCTATTTATCAGGTCGTATTATCTGTTTGACGTGGGTTGTTGCACACAACACACGTTCTACGGTGTCCAACGATATATTAGGATTAAATAATAAAGAAACTCATATAAAATGTCAGGAAGAATAAGAAGGGATTTAGATATACGGAGAACGATATACAGAAACAACTGTTGAATATGGCATTAGTAATGGTCAAAAACAGAGGCGTGTTTTTTCACTCGAACGTTATGAAAAAACGTGTTTGAAATTAATAATAATAATAATAAACAAATGGCCTTTATTCATCATTCAAGGTCACATAAGAAAAAAATAATGCAATGACAAAACAATGAAAAAAAATTCGTGCAGGAGATCAGCTTCCAATCTTTTTTTAAAATTGCACAGGCTCATATTAAATACAGTTTCGCAGCATGATACGAATAACTGTGCTTAAGCAGAGCCGCTAAATGTTTTATAATGACCAAAAGATGTTTATTGCGAGTTACTTTTCAGGCAGCCTGGTAAGTTTATAGAATGAATAAGTAGGTGTTCTACTAGTAACGATCTTGTGTAATGAAGTGAGAAAATGAAGTTTTCTTATGTTAATCATGTGGTCATACTTCCGCATACCATATGCAAACCTGATTCAAGAATTTTGAATTCAATGAATGAAAAAAAATATCTGTTTGTAAAAGGGCAAGTCCGCATATGCACTCACAGTTTAAACAAAATCAAAGCTTCATATAGTTTGATCTTCATGGATTTTGATAACATACTCCTGCTGGGATAAATTAGTTGTCTTGATAGAGATATCCATATTTCCTGCGAAATATGACCAAAATCCCACTGGACTAATACTGACAGACCGTGATCATACTTTTCATGTTAAATTGTCAACGTCCGAGAATAAAAATCATCACGTCTGATTGAAGTCTAAGCTACCAGTAGAATCACCTTCTGAGGACAGGACATGGAAAACCCATTACGTTACTCTGCACGTTACTACATCACAGTTTTATCACGAAATCTTTCGTCTAAACTTCACCTTAATAGGATAATGGATATAGTTCAAAAATATTTGTTCCTAAGTTATACAGTGCAAACGGTTCGAAAAGCAATAATTGCATTGACGCATGCAAAAAAATTGTAGAATGTTGCAGTTGTTTCCAGCCGTCGTTGTTTGTAATCGAGTTCGTGGTTTTACGTCTAACTACCTCCACCAATGATCGCATCCACCATTTTTCTCACATTGTGAACTGTTCAAAATATGGTGGAGGTACAAGCTATTCAAACCTACATTTGAAAAGTGTAGTATTACGGACTCCATGATTCTGTCCGCTAGAGAAACATGATATGCAGCTTTTAGCATTTATCTTATTATATCTTATATAATATTGTATATAAATATCATTTTTTTGTTTGTCGTTCCAGCAGGTGACAAGCATTTTTAGTTCTTGAACCAGGATCGCATTTTTTTCGAATTCGATTTCTACAAGATGTACGCCACTGGGCAACTACGTATCAAGTTTTATAAAGAAATAAGAAATTCCATACCTACCTTAACGACGTGGAAGTAGCCTAAAATGTTTACAAGTCGGGGGAAGCTCAACAGAAAATCCCTTTTTCTTAAATTAATATGATTCGTGTCTAGCGTGATTGACTAAACAGAGTCTTACATGTTTTCTTTTATTAATTTAAGTAATAGATGGTTTTTCAATTCTATTTTCGTGTATTTTTATTATTTACAAAATGTAAATGAAACATATTCTGATGTTGACTGTGACCCATTCCTCACTGCGTGTCTGCCCAATATATGAATAAATTACCGAGAAATTAAGATTTTTTTAACTTTTCGGTTGTGCTGCCACGGAAACATTAGTCAAAAAATAAAAAATCGATCATGTTTTAAATTAATAAGTTTGGATATTGTACTTCTGTACAGGGGGTCCCGCTATAAATTCAGCAGCTCTTCTATTTTTAGCCTGATCTTTTAGAAAAAAAAAAGTTATATTCAAACGCTGTAGTCCAAGTTTTTCAGACAATGTCTTTTTCCAATAAATAGAAAAGTTTATTCTTTTATTGAAACACCCTGTATATTTTTAGTGATGTCTTATTTTTCCTCATCCAAATGTATATGGCGCATTATGCTTATTTTAATTGATTTGATCATAAACTAAAATCGTACGTGTCATTTAACCATAGATTTCGGCCCCTATGCCAGATTGCGTGGCGATAGATTCAAACTAGTGAAATTGGATACACATGGATAAGTGACACGCAAAATTCAAGTTTTTGTTCAAACTAAAAATAGATACAGTACCGGACAAAATTAGAGAGACTATGACTTTTATGGAATACAGAAATACCTGTATATTGAATTTTTGTAATTGAGCTAGAAGATTTATGTCATTAAGTAGTTTCAAATGATGCTGAAATAAATTCATAAACGTTGTTTGCAAAGATATATTAGAGAAAATAAAAGAATATAAAAAATTCTATGCGCAAACATTAGAAAGACTTGTCCTTAAAATACATTTGTATCCTATATTAATGAAACTAAACTAATACTTCGTCCAGTACCCTTTGTTCTCAATGACTTTTTGGCATTGACGCAATGGGATTGGAAATTACTCTCTCTAATTTGGTCCGATACTGTATGATACATAATATATACTCGTATATTTGGAATCAGAAAAGGAGATCATTTTCAATAAAATTATACAGGGTGTTCCATTTGAAAAAATACAACTTTATTCAATAGCACTTTTCGGAGACACCCTTTTTTTCTAAACGGACATACAAAAAAGTTAAAGGGGCGTCAGTTTATACCGGGACACCCTGTACAAGAATTATAACTCTATATATTTGATACTGCATAGCTTACGCAAACTATATGTATTCTGAACATATAAATGGGGAAGGGATATCAAATTATAAACACAGTCTGCTTAGAAACAGTTTATTTGTTCAATTGAGCAAATGATTGATAACATAAAATACAGACAACCCAAAATATTGTCACACTCAATTCAGTTAAAGGTATACATCAAACTTTAGCAGTTTTACAAATGATCTGTTTCAATCGCTATCTGAATCACAATAACTTGTATACATATGTTGTGTATATATATATGTAGAACAACAGTAACAGTTTTTAGAAAATAGATTTTGATAATATTTTTTTCTGTTGAGAAAATATCCATCATTCATGTAGAAAACGTCAACTTTCATGGAATTATGAAATATGAGAAGTCATAACTCAAGTTCGAAAAATATCCCAAATTGTTAAAACATGCCTAATGCTTTTATAGAAATCTCTTTCCACGATGTCACATACGATAATAAAAATAGATTACCTTTATCCCTAAAATAAGAGATCTACAGTAAGTTAAATACACTATAGTTAACTTGGCAGCGCTAAAGGTTATAAATATTCAGGTTTACAACATTTCCATATTCATGTTGAATCTTGTCAGCTAGTAATATTTAAATATTAAGCTTTCGTAAAACTACAGAATTTGGTGCAAAAGTTGAATTTGGGACTCAACTCTATTTCTGCGAATTCTTTAGAAAAATATTGATTTATAACGTTTAGGTAATACTGTAAAATTGTTATTATAGAACTGAAGTAGTGATACAGGTTTTGGCACCTAAACCCTATAGCTGTAACTTTATGTACTTACCATGTTTTACATGGTACGAAAAAAGCTAGATAACATGGTTGATTACAATATTTACTTATTTAGGGCTTTACATAGATCTTGGTATATAGGCTCCGTGTGTGTTCAAAAATGTACAAGGCAACTTGCAATGCACAACGTCTGAACTTGGAAATGTAAGCTACAAAACATAAAGGGTTTTCAACTAACCTATTACATATATGATAAAGAGTATTGGTAATTACAATTATCGCATACGTTAATGTTAAGGTTAGCCTTTATTTGATATCAAAGTATTGTGTATTTGCTATTGCCACAACGGTGTATTATTCATAGTAGGTGAGCCCAAAAGTGGATTTTCTATCCTGTTGAGTACCTTTACCATATGTATATAAGCAGCTGATCAGAAATATATCGTTAAAAATAGTCGAGCACGTCAGACTAATATAAGGTGGGTGAATTACATGCTGAAAATAAATCAACCAATAATCTGACGATTTGGGTGTGACGTAAGGGAGTGGGAGGGTCACAAACTTCCAAAAAAAGTCATCTTGACATTTTCAAACGCTGTCGATTCTTTCTTAATTTTAAAGAAAGAAATTCAAGAATAACGGAATATATATTATTAACTCTGCTGTTTTCAACAAGCCGAAATGTGAGAAAATGGTCAAAAAAGTTTTGTCCATGCAGCTGCACTAGAGCCTTATTCCTCCCTCCGCGGTTCGCTAGCTCTACCTGTTCTAACAGTCAATATCTAGTAATTGGTCTATAGTGAATGATATCTACTACGACGATGAGTAATAATTATTTAAATGTGTATTTCGCGGGAGAAACACATTTAAAAAAATTATTATATTTACATCAGAAACACAGAAAAAATGCCTTGCGATTTTGGAATGTCGTCGTAGCAAACCGCAAACTCAGAAAACAACGGTCAACGTACGATAATATTGAACTTATGCAAATAAAATATCCTCTAATCTTCAAAAGCTAGAACAAGAAAGTGTAGCGGAATGCGATAATGCACCGGACAATTCTGGGGAGACTTTCGAATGACATCTTCCTGTTTGTAGATCATAAAAACCGTACTGGAAAAGGTGGTCAACGTGAAATGTTTGGGGTATTTACAGGTCTAATTGCATTTTAGCATATTTTTATAACATGTATTTGCCGTTGAAACGATGTTTTTTTCCGAAAAGATTCACTTTAAAGACAATCATCATTGTCAGCTGGCATTTTAATTTAAAACAGTTTTGATCATTTAAAAATTTCCTATTACATTCAAACTTGAAAGCTTTTTTTTAAATTGTCAGATTAACATAATCCCGCCAAATGATCCTCAGGTTATGAGTGAGCACCGCTAGGTCATCTAGCTGAATAGTCTGTATAGTAATTTGAGGCGCTCGACTATTTTAGAAAGGGTGATTTTTTGCATTATCAATAGCCCGCCATTAACTTACGTCGCATCCGAACCATCGGTCTTTTGAATAGATTCTTCTTTTGGTTTGCTTAACATGTTCTTTTGTTTCCAATTTTCTACCCTTCCCTTCAGCCACCCCCACCATACTAACTCGAGTATTTCCATGTAACTTCTAACCAGTGAACCTGTAACCTTTTTTTTTCTGTCACTTAGCCTCTTAGGCACGCCTACTATCAATTCAAACATGCATCATATTCTTGACATACTGAGCCTACAGTGTAAAAGGGTTTTAACTACTTAAACTCTATTTACGTTACATACCTTTAGGTTATTTACGATTTGTTTAGTTCCAATATTCTTCCTGCCTATTCGTTTCTACCCAAAAAAAGCCATGGTTTCAACAACGCGCTTTGTCACATTTTCGAAATTTATCAATAGATATCACCCGAGTCTTAATACGTCTAAAAGACCACAACTGAATCACCCATCTTCTTCTGAAGCGATGCTATAAAAATATCATTTTTGTAACCAAATCGTTTCCAAAAATATCTTTTCTTACATTCTAACAGAAACGTTTATCTAATAGTGTAACTCTCACATTGATATTGAACAGCATTTTTTACCTAATCTAGCGTCTACTTCAAGCTGGTATAGATCCATCTAGAGATATAGCGTTACACGAATAGCACATTTTTTGGTAACACGATCACATTTCAGAATATATTTTGATTTCTACTTAAGTGGTAGTGGTAGTTTTCCTGACAAATTATCACAAAATTCAACATTACATATAATTTTAACAGTAAGATGAATAGTAGAAAGGTAATACTGAAACTTACAAGATAAAAATTGCTGTAATATATTCAACACTAATAAATCGAAGAATATTCATATAAAAATTGTTTAATACGACAACATACGGTTTGATAGTTCAGTTTCTGCCCATACTTTTATTTTTTATATGTCGATATTTTATAATTGTATTTTTTACTCTCAAACAACTGAGATCTATTAGTGTAATGCTGGGATTTCAGATTTCATTAGCCATATTATATTTGATGCAAAATATGACCAATTTTATTATTTGATATCACCCAAAATAAGCAGATTGAAAAACCCGATAAAAAATATTAATGTAATATAACTATATTTAAATCTTTCACGGAATGATGAAATTTGAGCCCCATGTTTAAGAGTTTTTGAAAATTTTATGGAGATTGCGTTGTTTTGAGATCATGAACGCATAATAAAATAAATGCAAAAATTAACGAAAATGTAAAAAACTTAAACTACGAGCATGTTATGTGAACCATAACTTTGAGGAGCTTCAATTCGTCGATGTTACTCAAAAATTGATACGTGTTTGAAAATCTATCCATATATTAAAATACAGGGTTTTCCAAAATTCCACCGACATAAATAAATGTTTGCTTAAAATCGGTCAATCTGTGCCAATGGATAAATTTTGAGATTCAAGATATAACATCAAAACTTAATAGTTCCTCACTGATATTTTATGGAAAGTACTGGCATATGTCAATGTTTATTAGCGGAAAATTATATGGTAGCACCATCCAAAGGTCGCAAGTGGCGCTAAATATTGAGAATCAATAGTTGTAACCTTTGGTGTTAACCAAATTCGGCAACAGGCCCTCCTTATAACATATACAGGGTGTCCAGAAATTGAAGAATAATCCTGCAGCTGCAAATACCTACTATATGGAAAAATGTTGTTTTATTGAAATCGTATAGTTCTCGAGATGTTCAGCAATTAATTTTTTGTTGATAGACTAGTTCAGTTAATACCCTGCCATTTCTACAAACATCAACCTTTTTTATTCAGGCTTGTTTTAAAACTCTCAGAATTAAGCATTTCATCCCATCTAGTATTTTTTCCCTTAAAATGGCAAGAAAACCCCATAAAAATCATACCAAATTCTAAACTATAATGAAAATCAGTTCTCATGACTGACATTGACACCCTGGAGTGTGGTAGAGTCCAGTATGATCACTGTGCAAATTATTCGAAAATGTTGGTTGTTGGCAACTTTTAAATGGTATTATTGTTATTCTTACTGTTATTTTCTTCTAATTGCAGTTACAATAGATGATTGCGTTTTCTCAAATATCTGAAAGTGCCATTATATGGCAAAAAGGACAGGATTGATGTTGAATGATAGTTTAACTTAAATTTAGAGCTGTAATGATCATTAGCAATCTGAGACAGAAAGAACGGGGGAGTTGTGGCTTTTGTCCGCAGCAGTCATTCCTGCTCCAGAGATGTTTCTTTGGAATCAGACCGGAAGGACATTCTGAGGCTTCGCCAACAACTTATTCCCGTTCAAGTGCTTGTACACGCGTTAAGGAATACCTCAGTACCGATTGCCGAGTGGCGGTACAAGTCCGCCAACTGGCCACTTTAGGTCTATTTAATATCATTAACACGCAAAAAGAAGGTGGTAGACAAGGACCAGTCGACCGAGGGGGTTCCCAGGGTATCTTATAAATGTCCGCATGTTTCCACACCTAAGCTATGCAGTCGATTATCTTCCAAAACAAATAAATTAATGATAATGGATCCCTCGAGTACTAAGAATTCCGGATGTAAGCTCACTCCACTTTCAGAATGTCCGGGTGGAGGATGCACTCGAGGGAACACCATCGAAGATAAAATTTGTTTCACGAACATCTGCGGGATCAACAGCAACATTGATGCTGTTCATCACCATTCACTACTTTCAATCCAATCGTCCCACCATGCTTTTCTTGGCGGAGACAAAAATCTCAGAGTCTGCACCGATTAACCATCTTAGGTTCCCAAATTACGAAGTCCACTCCAATCTGAAAAAGAACGGGGGAGTTGTGGCTTTTGTCCGCATCAGTCATTCCTGCTCCAGAGATGTTTCTTTGGAATCAGACCGGAAGGACATTCTGAGGCTTCGCCTCAACTCCAAACCACCACCCAAATTTATTTGCTGCCTTTATCGCTCTCCCTCGGACCATAACTGGGATGACCTACTCGAATACCTAGCCGTCCAGATCGACTTCCTGAACATCAATCACCCCGCTTCAGAGGCCGTTCTTCTCGGTGATTTCAATGCCCATAATGAGCCATGGTTGGGCTCAAACAAGACCGATGCAGCAGGTCATGCAGTCGAAGCGTTCGCTCTTACTCACTACTTTTTTCCCCGCATCTAGTCACACGCCAATAGCCTGCTGGATGGTTTTCTGACCACGCATCCTGTCCCTTACAGCACTGCTGTCCTGTCCCCCCGCATGACCTTCTTACTCTATACAAGGCCCAGATAAGTCCTAGCCTCGAGTATTGCTCACACGTTTGGGGTGCTGCCGCCCCTACTACATTATCCATGCTCGATGCTGTCCAGAGGAGGGCGGTCCGACTGATCGATGACTCTTCTCTAACAGACAGTCTCTGGACTCGTTCGCACCGGCGAACCGTCGGCTATTTAGCTCTTTTCTATCGCTACACCAACGGGCTTTGCTCCTCAGAGCTCTCTTCCATGATGCCGCCGCGCGATGTGCCTGCCAGACAGACCCGCCTGACTTTGGCGTCCCATCCTAACCGTGTCGAACTTCGTACATCCAGAACTGGCCGATACGACCGCTCTTTTGTCCCGAGGGTGCCGAAATTGTGGGAAAATGTACAAGAGGAAGCTTTTCCCAGTTCTACTAACCTTAGGCAGTTCAAAAGTCGTATTAACAAAATTTCGTTGGGATCATCATAGGAGCCGCGGTGTTCCGGCATTTAGGCTTCTGCCTGCGCGGCTGCTTCGATATAAAAAAAATCTTTACTGATACACATGCCCTATTCTTGTTCATAACAATTTGTTTTGAAAAGATGTAAGGCATCTGTAACAGTAAATGGTGATCATAACGTTAATAAATGCAATATAAATTATCCTTCAACATCAATCCTTCCCCTTTTGTCTTAAAGCCATAAAATGCCACTATTTGATATATGCAAGAACTGCAAGAGTGAATCAGCAATAATACCATTAAAAATTTCCAATAACCAACCAACTTTAGCACAGTGATCATACTCGATTCTTTTACATTAGAGGATACCAATCAGACGTGAGAACAGGTTTTCATTAAAGTTTAGGTTTTTGTATATATGGTATTCTTACGTAGGTGTCTCGGCATTCTAGGAAAAAAGTAAAACTGGGAAGGATGAAATGCTTCATTCTGATCGTTCTGAAACAAAACCAACAAAGTTGATATTTGTAGAAATAGCACGGGACATTGACTAACGTATTCTAGCTGAAGATAGCCAACCTATTACTAAATTCACGCTCGAATAATTATCCAAGATGAAATATAATAAAACAAAATCTCATACATGCAGCGACAATATCTCATTTCTTCTCGGAAAATTTTTCGGACGCGCGAATACAGTATTAGGTTGATATTTAGGTAGAATATGCGAATCAATTCACGGCATTAACTAAATGCAGGTCTTTTAACAAAAAATTAAATACCGATACACAACTTTAAAAACTAAACTTAAGTTTTAATGCAACTGCAGGATTATCCTTTAATTTCTGAACACCCATATCAGACCTATGAGGGCTGGTGCCGCACCAAAAACTACAGGGTCATTGGCAGACAAAGTGTATTATCAAAGTCAGTAGCTGTAGTCCTTGAAATTTCTGGCATACCCTGTATAGTATATACGTATAAGAAGGGTGTAGGAACACTCGGAATCAAACAGTCTCGAATATGTTTAACATAACAAATACAAATTTCGTAAGTCTGAAAGAAATTTGACCAGCAAAATCAATCGGATTCATCAGAGTCATAAAACCCATCAGTCCAATAAGGTCCAGCCTTTTGTTTGTGCGCACCTTTGTCGTGGCAAACAATATGAACAATTTTAAGGTTCACCGGAGTGAACAAATCATTATAAATCATTTCCATGGCCAGTAATTTGTCAGAACCTTTGCTTTTTATTTTGTGATTCTCCAGACAATCAAGGCAATCACGAGTCTTACTACAAACCAGTAACGCTTCCCAAATTGCTGGGATGACACTTCGGGTTCTCTCTTTCCTGTGGTCCAAGTTCCAAGTCTGAAATGATAAAATGTGAAAAGCTGAGAATTTTATATACTACATTAATCAACGTACAAAGATTATAAAAATTCCCGATTGTCGTTAAATAGCAGTGGTGTCCAATTTTACTCCCGCTGGGTAGGCGCTAGTGTAGTTGGACGTCCTATCAAAAGTAGATGGAAAAACGGAACATTTGACGACTCTTGACGTGAACAGCTGAACAGTAATTGACATTGTTTTGTCTATAACATTAGACATGACCTCTAACCTTGCTAGCGCCATCTACTTCCAGCTTACCAGATTATTATTATCAATACATATCTGGATGTCGGCAGCAATGCTACGGATTTCATAGAAAATTCAAAGGATATAGTTTGGTGAAATTAACTTCGCAAGTTTAATCGGCAAGCACCTGGAGCTGGATTAGTCGATGACGTCAGGTGGATTAAAGGATATAATATAATATAAATTTTGGTTGCGTCTTCATCGAGAGTTTGACGGTGATGCTTATCCCAGTTGTCATGATGTCCAACCACAGCATCATCGTATTCGTTATACAAACGTTGTGTCCATAGCAATGGACTTAACAGTGGATTAGCAACGCCGTGGATTTAGCGACCATGAAAGATGTAACAGAATCATCTAAGTTTCACTGCTTCTACCCTCTATCCTAGGGAGAGCCTAGACCTATGTCGAAATGACGTCGTCTGCAACTTGTTGAGGTTCAGAAAGCAGTTAGTATTGTTAAGTTTTATTTCGTACAATAGGTATTTGCGTTAATTAACTTTCCCACCATAATATACCTAATCCAATAAACATATGTACTCTGATGCTGCCAACTGCTTATGCTTATTATAACTGTAGTGTATCCAAATCTCATTTACGCCCCGTCAAAACAAGCACCAACGCGCAACGCTCAAATTTGAACGTTCCTGTTGGACAGCAGGCCAAAATGCCATAAATACCTGAGCAGGCAGCGACCAGCGAATTGAAGCTGCGAGCGGGTGCTCATGTTTATTTTGATGTGGAGTGAATGATGTTTGAACAGACATACCTGTCCAGCATTGTCTTTGAGTGTCAGCATTATCACCTCTCGAACTTGCTGCCACAGGTTAGGGGATTTCCTTTTACCTCTTTGAGAAATTCAGAATTCGGAATTTAAGTAATAATTCCACAAGGGTATGAGGGGTGATGTTTCTATTTTTATTACCTCTAAGGAAACTGGGATCCAACTCAACATCATGACTGCGATGATGATATTAGTATCTGAACATAATCAATGTTATTTGATAAATACTGTACCTGAAAAACAATCCTGTGTTCTCTGCTGGCATAGGGATTGATAGAATGAGGTGGATTGTACAGGCAAACTGCCTTGTCCCAGCGGCCCTGGCAAGTGAAGTTGCCCTCCGCGTCGCAAATGCTCATCATGTGTTCGAATTTACTGCACGTCCTGTCGAAATAATGACCGTGGTATGAATAGTATTTCAACCGACTACTAAATTCTTCAAGTAACGTTTTCAACAAAATGTTCGCTTCGCCCGTTACGGCGACCTTCATGATCTCCTCCTTCGTTTTGTAATAGTATGATCGGATGCGATCCTGAGCTCTGCGCCTCATATAGGCTTCTTTTGTTTTCACACTGGTATCCAGGCCTGTTAAGGGGAGCCAACAGAAAAAAATAAAAACAAAAGCATAGGTTGCAAAATGATATAGGCACAGTGATGCTTTGTTAGGTACATTATTTTTTTATATTTGAGCTACCATGAAGTCCCTTGGGCCAAAAGTATTTGTCACATGTAGCACAGATCACTGATAAATTCAAGTGAGAATGAATTATTTTCGATACTGCATGTGTATATTAAAATGTATTGAGCATCCACCAAATTTGCAAACAATCCATAGGGTGAAAAAATTTTGGATGAGGCTATAGCAAACATTGCTCATAAGGTCAAAGTTTCCATTTTTTTTTTTTTGATGATTCGGTAGAAGTAACTTTAACCACCAGTGCATGTAACTAGACATCAAACCAATCATATGAAGGATTAGTTTGAAAGCCTCAAGCCACTTGGTAGCAGTAGAACAAGAAATTACTGAAATAACTTTTAGAAGTCTGTAATCAAAATACCTTGATCGGAAAAGTTTGCTATGGGTCATCAAATAAAAACAACACCATAGTAGTTTTAGTAGAGATGCAGAATCTGCACAGCAGCACCAGGACCTGAGATTTCCCAAGCCTAATCATAACTTTTGTCTATTAGTTTTCATTCTCAGATTGTGCATCTTTTCTATCTTATATGTTAGTTATTTTGGAAATTATTTCTCACCTTCAAACCATTCAGGGTCTTCAGTCCTAGTGCTCAGCTTAACCTTGTCCCCACTTATACCACGAAGCACTTCAGCTAGTTTAAAAATTTTATTTTTCATTTTTTCTGTGAAAAAATCCTGAATCTTTTCTCCAGTTGTCAAATACTCATCATTCACCTCCCTAATAATCTTATACAGCATCTCAGCATCAGTTTCAGCTTTATTCCCCTTTCTAATCCAAATGAGTAGGGTTTGAGCTGCCAAGGTCTGAAAGTACTCTTCTGAGTCTATCACAGTACCATCCTGCATTTGGAAATCAATAGTAGATGGAGGATATTTCAGTTTGAATTTCTCAACAGTTTTCTTCCTCAGTTCATCGAGAGTTTTTACTGCAATTCCTACCCTTGTCTTCCTTTCTGCATCAGTTACTTTGAAGCCTCTTGCAGAAGTCATAGTGAAGCTGCTGGCTTTATAAGCTAAAATACCATCCAGAGAAATAATATATTCAATTTACAAGGGCAACATCTGAAACTTATCATGTGGTTTGCATGCTGATAGGCAAATGTCACACTATCAGTATTTTTACTGGGGCCTGTAACATCAAGACTTAATGACTATTTCATCAATGTCATTAAATTTGTATGTACATCAATAACTACAATCAATAAATATTACATTCCATGATAAATAATGATGGATCGCTGTGAATACTAATTGGGAGACATTCACCATTTTTCTGACCAAATGAAACCGCATATGTAGAAATTACTCTTTACTGACATTCTAGCTTCCACAGTGACCTTTTTCAAAGCACATATCTTTGTACTCTGGAAGGGGTAGGTGATTTTAGAGTAAAGATCTACACTTAGATAAATGCTTAAACATCAGTAAAGAGTAATTTCTACATATGTGGTTTCACCTGACCAGAAAAACATAGTTTTTCAAGTAAATATTTAATAAAATGACTACTTTCATTTTTAACAAAGAACTCTAAATAACATTTGTGTTGAAGTACAAAAGGATCTAATTTTTAATTCATAGCAAGAAAACTGTGAATTATGTTTTTGTGCGCAACTAGTTAACATATAAAATTCATATCATTAGTTTTACAGGTATTATATAATATATTACAGGTTTTAATAATCTCCAGAATACATACAGCAGATTACTGAAAAAAATGAATATCTATGGTGATTACAAAATTAAGTTCAAATTTTAAAATTTAATTTTCTTTCATGCTTCCGATGAATAAAATCAGATTAATGGTGCTTGCCTTCAAAAATGAAAAAATGCTGATTCTAACAAGTGTCGTTAATCCTTTAAATATAAAATAATTTTGGTCTTGGAGAATGCAACATGTGACCCTTATTTTGCTCCTAAAATAAAAACGAAATCATTTTGCAGGGCCCCTATTTTTCAAAGCGGAGTTTTTCGCGGCCCTGATGCCTTATGGTGTTTAACAGTCACTTATAATTTGAGGCTGTTCACACAAAAAGAGTTATGTGAAGCTAGGGGCTTTGAAAGCAAGTCATGCAGGCAAATTGTTAACTAAATATAGATTCTGTTACATCTATTTACGTACTTGCAGGAGAGTAAAATCAATGCGACGGTTTCAAATGAACAGAGACACTGTAACAAACTGGATAGCTCTAGGCATCCAAAAGTTATTTGAAACGATCCCCCAAAGTGGGCCAATGCCGTGTCATTGTCACTGTGTCATCCCAACAGCCAGGAAACTCAGGGTCAACCCAGCTTGCTCCCGGCCAGAAAATGGGAACAAGGGAAAGCAAGGGCGACAAGGACCAAACGATTACCACCAACAAGGAAAATCGGAAAATTCTGACAGTTGGCAAAGTGGATTATTGCATGTCAAAATTTGTCAACACATCAAACATAACCTCACATTTTTCCAAGCGGCTTTTGCGTCATACGGGGATGTGTACAGTCAGTGACAAATTTTTGCAAGCGAACATATATAATGATGACGTCGTTTATTTAAGGTTACACCTGCCACCACGCATGCTACTGTCAAAGATGGAGAATGTAAGCAACTGAGAGCGAACTTATGGATAAAGCACAGCGCAAATGCGTTTTAATTATATTTGCGCTACTTACACACGTGTTCAAATTTTACACTCGACGTGCCTCTATCAAGTTAACCGAAAATATGGAAAAATGACTAGCGGTCGTGCGTTAAAGCAAGCCATAGACCTTGTTCTCTTTATGACAATCACATCAGTATATATGTTTTGTGATCATCACATTTGTTTACTGCAGTAAACAACTAAGTTACCACAAAAAAACAATACGATGCAGGAATCAAGAAGCAATGTATTGTTCCAGCTGTCATCTTACAATTAGAAAATGAAGACAATCAATGGAAGACAGTGCAAAAAAGAAAGCAGAATGATCAAAGAGACTTACGCCAAAGAAATGTAGGGCAGTGGTTCTCAAAACATTCTCAAAATTTACCTTGCTAGATCTAAAATGTGGAGATATACCTCCCACCTTCGACGCTACGCTCATAAAGAAACAGACATGTACATTAAAAAAATACTGTGGTATAGTCAAAATCACGAAAGATGACTATTACGTCATACCATAAATTGTACTGAAGTAATCAATGGACGTACGTCGATGATAAACTCACGAGTCAGAAACATAATGACAACAAATTTATATTATGATTTTGCGAGGTTAGGTTCTTTTACTGATTATTTTTATTTTCATTTTATTTAATGGTTTTGAGTGATACTTAATAATAATTTTAGTTAGCAGTTTTTGTTAAAAAAAACAGTTATGAGTAGAATACCTTAAGACAGGTACACCAAAGACCAAAGTATTATTCGAAAACAACATAACCTGCTTCAACATAACCTAACTATTCATCTTTCAAGAATGATCGATAATGCAACATGAAAACATCGTCTATCTTTGTCGGATACATGCAAATTAGCAATACAGTTTGTTTAGACTTGGTTTAGACAATAAAATTCTGTTTGTCTCTGTCTAACATATCAGAAACTTCATTAAATATATTCACAAATCGCTGTCGTATGTCTTTACTACAGACTAAAATGATGACGTAATCGTCATCTTTCGTGATTTCGACTATACTCGCGCTGTCAATACAAATCTAGAGACGCATGTCAAAATGCATCAAGCTGTTTAAGCTGTGGCCCGTGAAATATGAATTACAAAGTTGAATTTTTTCATCAATCTCCCATTTGATTTAATAAGATTTCAGTCCAGAGTTCAGAGTGGGATGTGGTTTGATGCCCTTTTCAGAACCAGGGTATATGAATCTATTAATATTTTTAGTTGATTGGTGTGGCGATGTTGGTGACTCTTTATTAATTAACACGCGTCAAAATAAACTTGAGCACTTGATCACCACTTCTGTACACATTTTTGGTACGCGCAAAGTTGAACATTGCACGCTGGTGTTTTTTTCACTATTTTTGATGCAGATGTTAGCATGTCGGGCAAGACTGCCTAAAGACGTGTGTGACCGTCTTAATGACAGTGACAGCAGTCCTTTTGACATTTTGGCGTCTGAAGTTTTTTGGTTATCTGAAAATAGTGAATTTTTGCCTAAAAAGTCCATATTTACCGAGGGGGGATATACTATTACGACTTAAACCCATATGAGTTTTAATTTTGAACCAAATTACACTTTTTTTTCGGTTTCAGGTTTCACGAGATCTTAATACTGAAATGGATAATTTTCAGTATTTTCATATTTTCACAAGATCTAGCTGATTTCAGAAGGTATTCCAGACAATATTTGGGTATTCCAAAAGTTTCGGTCGGAATATTTTATTGAGAACTATGAACTGTACAAACAATAGTGAGGCAATTATATGTAATCAAGGTGATGAAAGTACATTCATTAATAAAATATTAGTTGAAATGAAAAGTCAATTCAACCAGCCTGATATTAAAGTAGAACCTCAAGAAGTGAAGAACGAAAATGTTGATGGGAAAACTAGTAATTCAATAAGTGAAGAAACAACAGAACATTCTGAATCATGTACAAAAGAAATCTTATCTAGTGTAACAAATGATCAGACTACTGACATATTATGTAAAAAAGAGGTTGATGTGAGTGACTCATTCAAAAAACCAAATGGCGAACTACCAAGCATGCCCCCAACAATATCCCCTAATAGAAGATCTTTAAGGAACAAACCTACTGATGATAAAATATCTCCACCCAAGAGATCATCTCGACGTAGAAGCAAAGATTCCAGTGAGTCTGTACTTCAAAATGCAATAGCAAGGAAGGAAAAATCTTACAATGAAGCTAGCAAGCCTCAGAGACTGACAAGACAGTTGAAACCAACACAGAAAATTTTGGAAAATTTGGCATTAGCCAAGGAAGACAGAAATAAGTTGCTCAAATCACCTAAAGCTGATAAAGCTAACTGCAATAACATAAGTAATGGTGATGAAGTATTTGTAAATGATAGTCCTAGTAAAAGAGGTAGAAGACAGGTTAGGAGTCCTAAGAAACCTAAAAGACTTAAGATGAGTTATGGAAGTGATAGTGAACCTGAGTCTAATGGAAGTATATCTGATAATAGTGAATCCACTACAAGTACTAGAAGATCACAAAGAATTTCAAGGTTAAAAAATTGGGCATTAACTAATACAGTATTTTTGCTGATACTAATAATTAGAGTATGCTGATATATCAAACCCAATATTTTTTGTATTTAATTAGAAAATCAGGTCTAAACATTGATGATAGTATATCTGTTTAAGTTAAAATATTGCAGACTGGAGAAACTCATTATTGTTAAAAGAACTTTTCCATTGTCAAATACAGCAGTAGAAATAATCCCCATGCTTGTCTGGCCAATAAAACCGATCTTCTTTACTGCAGTAAACATTTCAATCACAAAGGTACAGTTGTACTGAAGATCACCTTTATGATTGAAACATCTACTGTAGTAAAGATCTGCCAATATATATGGTTTAATTGGCCCACCAAGCATGGGGGATTATCAACCTGTAAACTGCAGGATATTTCAGCTGTTACATTCACAGTAGTGATATTATACAATCTCATGATGACAGATACAATTGGATACAATTGATTAGAGTATATGCAGAGAAAAGCAAATTTGTCTGACAGGATGAGTTGCATGTGTATAATATGTATGAGAGAGAAGTGCATGTATGACACATGTTAGAAGATAGAAGGTCCTCACCACATTGCCTATTGATGGTGCTGTAGAAGGACGTGCAATAGGCCACATTGCCAATATGTTACTCCAGAAAATGTACAGGCTTCTACAAGAGGTTAATTACTGTCAACTCAAGAAGGAGGTCTGTTCGCTCATTTTATTTAATATTTTGTTTTCACTTTGATTAGAATTATCTACTTCAAATGCGACATAGTGTTTTATTTATTTCAGAATTATCTTTGATTTCCACTGAGGATGATAAAATCAACACATCCTCAATTATTGTTGCATTTTGCGACAGCGGGCGGTCGGCTAATGTAACAAATACCATTACCCAGGTAAAAACCATTTCTGAGAAGCACAAGACTCCCCCAATGAGCGCTAGTACTGACTACAATCGCTCATCTATGATCATGGAGGTGGAAATCTTGCCTTGGAATGTGCGAGATGCGGTGTTGCCAAGCTAACGAATGATGCAATGTTGCAGAATTTGTGGTGATCCTGACCTTTCATTTTGACCTAAAATGGAGCGCTGATAGGACCGATCCGAAATCAGATTCGACACAATTCAAAAATATGTATCGTCAAAATAAAACTATTATTTGGGCGTAGAGAATAAACTAACGCATATTTTCAACAATTCAAGAAAGTAGTGTACACTTTTTTCTCATACACATTGAACTCAAGCACTCGGACAAATTTGGTTTTCAGTGTATATACGAGGGTGGGGTGAAAAGTTTCCGGCCTGACCAAGCAAAACGACGTATTAAATTTTTTTTGCTTTATTTTTCAATATAATCTCCATCAACACTGATACATTTCTCATAACGGTGTTCTAATTTAGTTATACCAGTTTTAAACGTGGATTCGTCAAGCTCCTCAAAATACTGATTTACAGCTTCGATAACTTCTTTGTTGCTCTTAAATCTTTTACCGCTAAGCCATTTTTTGAGGTTAGGAAACAGGTAATAGTCGCTGGGGGCTAAGTCTGGATAGTAGGGAGGATGCGGCATCAATTCAATCTTCAATTCGTGGATTTTGGACATGGCAATAATCGACGAATGCGCTGGTGCATTATCGTGATGAAACAAAATTTTTTACTTCGCCAAATGAGGTCGTTTAATTTGCACCTCGTGCTTCAAACGTTGCAATAACTCTGCGTAGTATTGACCAGTGATAGTCTTACCCTTTTCAAGGTAATCAATGTATATAATTCCTCTCGCATACCAAAAAACAGTAGCCATAATCTTGTTTGCCGATAAAATTGTTTTTTCCTCCTTTGAAGTTGGTTCCCCTTTTCCAATCCACTGTTTGGACTGTTCTTTACTTTCAGGAGTGTAGTGGTGGACCCAAGTCTCATCAACAGTTATGAATCGACGCAAAAATTCGTTTGGATTACGCCTATACAGCGCCAAATTGTCGGTAGAAATGGTTTTTTGACGCAGTTTTTGATCGAGCGTTAGTAAACGCGGCACCCACCTTGCACACAGCTTTTCCATGTTCAAATGGTTGTGCAAAATATTTCGCACACGTTCAGCTGACATCCTACAGGTCAGCTATCTCGTGCACCTTCAACCTGGGGTCTTCCAACACTATTTTATGGATTTTCTCAATCATTTCTGAAGTTGTGACCTCGAGCGAGGCTCGTCAGAGGTGCTGGCACGACCCATTTTAAATTCCGAAACCCACTGCTTAATAGTTGAATATGATGGGGAGGAGTCTCCTAGTGTTGAATCCATCTTTTATTTGTTTTGGTGTAAAACCTTTCAGATAGAAGTATTTAATGATAGCACGTTTTTCCAATATTTCCATTTTTACGAAAACAATGGACGCGTCTCGCGCAATGTGCTCTCAAACGCAAACTAACGTAGCGATTGGGCTGGAATTGTACATACAAGTTTGGTAGGAATGGTTCTATAGGACGCCACTTCAAAAGTAGACCTGGTAGCGCCATTTCTTGGTCAGGCCGGAAACTTTTCACCCCACCCTCGTATGTTTTCTCAATTCAATAATTCTTTCTGATTTGAACATATCATATTAGTTAGACTATATTGGCATAAGGGCAGTATTAGTTGATCTACAATATAAATGAAGTATCCTTTCTTATTTGAACTGCAAATGTGTGAAAGTATTTCCGCAATGTTTTTTCAATTTTCCCATAGAAATCTGATAGGCTGGTTATTGATGAATCTGTTTACAGTCGAAATAGGGAAGACCCTTCTAACAACTCTAGTCCAGTCAGTGGGGATCAGGCCCAAAATTTTCCTGATGATCCTGAATGCTCTATAGAAGTACAACTGTCAAAGGCACATACTTGTTTTTGTACACACAGAACTAACTTATTTTCTATGAATAATGGTGGTAAGTTCAAAATTATTTCTGTGTCTGACATTATGAGTAAACAGGCATAATAATAGCCAAAAACAAAATATAAGGGATTAGCAAGAATATTTTTTTTTACAGAAACTGTTTACTGTAATGCAGTTGATAGCATAGGAAACAGATTGATAGGATGCACCAGAGTAGTGAATGTAGAGGAGACAGCATTGCTGAGGCCTTCTCAAAGAATCCCTTACACCCTGCTTTGTTCTTTCCACAGAAATAGACTTTTACGACACAACTGTTGCCCCACTTGTGGTATATTTTGTACTCAGGTTTGTATACTTGATTCTTTTAACCCTTCAATATTATATGTTACACTATTTTTAGGGAGTTTTCATGGAATGCGAGTCTAAACACCAGTATCATAAAGCATGTCAATCTGTGCTTGGAGATCTATCAGGTTGTCCTCATTGTGGTATAATTAAAAGCAATGAAGTTTTTATCAAAATGCACTGCTCTTCAAAGCCAATATTCCTTCCTACACAGAATTCGGATCAGTAAGTATCAACAGAACTTACAAAACATCTGGCCCATAATAATCTAATGCTGCAAGTATCTGTGAAAATCATTTTATTATCTCAGTTTTGATCTGAAAGTGTCCAGTATATTTTTAGGCAAGTTGGAACATATTTCATATCTTCTATAGTGGTGCCTGAAAGGCAGTAATGGTATTGTTTTAGTCCACCTGCTAAAATGAGCTTTTCTTCTGGAAATGACGATTCATCTTGCTCTACACCTTTGCTTGTACCAATAGACACATTCCAAACTTTTAATACTGCACAAATTGATAATCAAGACTTCACTGCTGATGATTTACTTGAAGCCATTGATTCTAATGATGTTAATAAACTAGCTGCTATAATAGGTAAGAGCCTTGCAATTCATGTAACTTCTAAAATATTGTTGATTACAGTTCCTTTTTTTTGTTTGAATTTTACAGCCCTGGATTCCATAGACCTAAACTTTAAAATTGCTGAGTTTAATGATGGAACTCTGATGCACTACTCAGCAAGTAAAGGGCACTTAGGAATATGCCATTTACTGATTTCAGCAGGGTTAGAGATTGATGAATTTGACAAAGACCAAAATACTCCTCTAATGTTGGCTATCAGTGAAGGTAGAGATGATGTTGTACAATTTCTCATCAAATCAGGAGCTGATATTGCGGTTAAGGTATGTTTACAATCTTCAGGTGTTTTGAGGTGAGCAAAATGCATAACAGACTGAAAAGAGCATTCAGAAACGTAATGTGTAATGGCTAGCGGGTAATTTTCTAAAAAAAATTAGTATGTATGACTTGTAGAATAAAAGTGTGTCCATGAGCCCACATATTTCCACAGCTGGTCTCGGAGGTATATGGCCTCCAATTTGGTCAGTTCAACAACGTTACAATTATGTCACATGCGATGGCCCAAACATTTTTAAAACTTGTTCAAGATTATCTGTGAGAATATATTTTAAAAATACCCAGGACATGGATAGTAAAATTACATTTATTTTATTACATATTTGGATATATCTACATGTATTTCTGTGTTGTGTCCAGTCATAATTTATCTAAAATAATACAGGGGTGCTGGCGGCCCAAAGCATGCAGTTAAGTGAGATATTCAAAAAAAGTAGTGAGAAATAGTGAGCGTATACATTAAAGAGTGAGCTAATTGTATGAAAAACACGAGAATGACTCTTGTTACGAGAGATGTTTTTTAAGTTTTGAATATAGAAACATAGTAGGCCGCGCGCATCGAACGTCATCGAACTTAGCGACGATTGTAGGGTGGGTGCACCAAAAACGGCAGTCACCCAGGAAAACCTCGATGCTGTGCGCAAACTCATCATTGAAGATAGACATGTGACATATCGCGAGATTGAGGCGCCCTTGAAGATCTCCAAGACCTCAATTCACAAAATTTTACATGAAGAATTAGTAGTAAGTAAATTAGTTTCTCGTTGGATACCCCACCTGTTGACTGAAGAGCAGAAAGCAGCTAGGGTTAATTGGTGTCAAAAAACGCTTGACCGTTTCAATTCCGGAAACTCAAAAAATGTGTACAGCATTGTTAGCGGTGATGAATCGTGGATTTACTGTTATGTACGAGAAAATAAACGACAGTCGTCTGTTTGGGTGTTCCAAGGTGAAGAAAAGCCAACAAAAGTCATCCGTTCTCGAAGTGTTTCGAAAAAAATGGTCGCGACATTTGTGTCAAAAGCGGGTCATATTGCAACAATTCCTCTTAATGATCAAAGAACTGTTACTGCGAATTGTTATGCCACCATTTGTTTGCCAAAAGCCAACACCGAGCTTCGAAAAATCAACCTCGAAAGAAGAATCAACCTCCACCAAGACAATGCCAGCTCGCACACAGCTCAAAAAACAAGGCAGTATTTAACGAAAGAAAACGTGGAATTATTGTATTATAGTCCCGATCTAAGTCCTAACGATTTCTTTACTTTCCCGAAAATTAAAAACAGACTGCGTGGTTAAAGGTTCCAGTCATCAGAAGAAGCAGTTGACGCATTCAAAAATGCCGTTTTGGATCTGCCAGCAAACGAGTGGAATAAGTGCTTCGAAAATTGGTTCGAGCGCATGCAGATGTGTATTAATCTTCGTGGAGAATACTTCGAAAAACAATACAGTCATTTAAAACTACCTACCGTGTTGTTTTATTTCCATATGCAAAACTTAAAAGACATCCCTCGTACTGTTTTACTCACGTAAGCAAAGATAATTATTTATATGTAATTATGTATGCATACTTTGAGATCAAATGCATATGATGCATAAAAGAAACATCAAAAATATAAGAAATTCTTGTAAATACGGGAGACGTCTATTAGGTATTCTTGCCAAATTGATTGAACTTACATTTTAGCGAACTATCTAATGTTAAAAAATTGATATAGTTTTTATAGATGAGTATCTTTCACACAACAGTTGACTAACTTAATCATCAGACCGTAAGACTAGACCGTCATTAGGAATCAAGCGCGGCTCTATTCGATAGGTTCTTATGGCCATTTCATGACTTCATCATAAGACCATCTCCATGTCATAATCATATTTCATTGTCAATTTAATTCCTTTAAGTCAACATCAAGCATAAACAATCTCAGTAGAGAACTACTGTTCTTGAATGTTGTTGAAGTTCTGACCTTCATTGAATCCTTCCTACCTGCACTATTCAAATGTTTCTGTTTCCAGGGTACCGACGGCATATCGCCTCTCCACGTAGCCTCCAAACAGGGCAATCTACGCGCCTGCCGCCTCCTAGTCGAAAGTGGCTCCATAGTGGACCGACGTGATGACGGCGGTTGGACGGCGTTGACGTGGGCGTGCGAACACGGTCACCGAAGCACCGCCTCCTATTTGTTGGGAGCGGGCGCCGATGCGAGAGCGCGTGACGTCGAACACAATGAACCACTGCATTGGGCGGCGTTTAGCGGAAGGGAGGATGTCGTGGGCCTGCTATTGGATGCCGGGGGTGATGTGAATACCGTCAATGCGCATGGAGAAACGCCATTGCAAGTAGAATTATTATCTTAATGCCGATGCCTTAAGCTTAAATCTAGAAAATGTTTTTACTTCTCACCCCAATTGGCAAATCATCCCCGTCCATGTACCCTTAAAACTCAGAAATATCTCCAACCGACGTGTGTCGAAACGTCCGCTGGAGGTCCCTAGCAGTCGCTTCCGCACTGATGTGTCAATATCCTCATCCACTCGGAATTGGTCACAGCACCGATCATGTGTACCTAAAGGAATTTCTCTCAGGGATGATGGGACGGTTATTCATTGACAAGAGATAGCTTTGCGTAAAAGCCAACCTGCCACCAAAAATTTTTGAAGAGCAGGTGGTAGCATATTTTTTCAGGGGGATCCTAAATAGCCTCAAAATTATACACAAAAGCATGCTAAATGTGCAAATTTTTTTGTATTCAAGTGTTTCAGTGACTTGAACCATTTAATTTTTTGTTACACATTTACGAAGCTTACTTTTTTCAGAAGGGCTAACTTGTGCTGAACATAATCCTTTATGAATTAATGATAGCATTACATGGGAAGAACAGAGTTAACCTACTTGATGTTATTTTTTAAGATTGATAATAGTTATTTTATTGAATATGTAGTAAAACTCTTTCTGGCAAAATGAAACCATATATGTTCATAAAATATTGTGTAATATACAAGGCTATGGATATTATATAGCCCAGGCTACTGATAGTCTAAAAATAGGTATTTCGTGTAAAAAAGTTTAGCAGATGTTTTTTTTTAAATATGCGTCTTTTTAATCACTTATCCTGATCAGCTTGTTGAAAAAATGACGAAGTTATTGTAAATGTTTATAAAAATGGATATTTCTTTAACATCATTTTTAACAACAATTTTGAAATAAATATTTAAGTCTTTGCATAAATTCTTGAAGTTGAAACCTTTAAGAATCCATTTCACCTTTGTAAAATGTTGTAGGACCGTATCTTGGGCAAGAGCAGTTGTTTAAATAATTCGTCTCTGGGATAAGCAATTAGCTTTTTACATAAACTATTAAACTGATCCGGCTGAAATTTAGCTCTTAATTAACACCAATGATGACCTCACTCTCACAAATTTTTAGCCATTTACAATTCTTATTGCAATATGTAGTTATAAACATTTATTCAATATTGCTAAAAAGCCCCGTATTGAGCTTAATTGTTTATCGATTTATAAAATTTAATTTGAAAATTATACAAGCAAAATACTGAATTTATGTATTTGTCATTACAAAGACCCCCTCATTCCATTTAAAACTCTCAGATATCTGCTAAACTTTTTTTCGCCTGTTTTTTATCTAGCTTGGAGTAATACAGGGTCCGGCAATGAAGTATGGTGTTTTTGCAACGACTATTACATGCAGCACTGTCGAGCCAATGTTTTCACGATGATTGATATCTACTCGTTCCGCGATGCCATTTTAGTAGCCATGGAGCCGTGGTCTGTGGCACATCGCGTGTTTATTTACAACACTTTTATTGAAACTGGTCGTTCTGTTGTGCTCACACAGCGACGATTTCGAAACCATTTTAACGTTGGTCGCGGCATGGTCGCGTTCCAAGACGCGATACCATTTTGAAGTGGGTGAATAAATTTCAAACAACCGGATCGTTGAGACCTGGTACTGCAAGGGGAAGAGATCGAACAGTGCGAACTCCGGAAAACATTGAAAGAGTGCAACAAGCGGTGGATACTAGCCCTCACCGTTCAGCGGTACGTCACGCTCGCGCTCTTAGAATGTCAGATCGTTCAGTTCGCAGAATCTTGCATTTGGACCTCCATTACCATCCGTATAAAATTATGGTTGTGCAGAAGCTGCTCCAAAATGACTGTGAGACGACACAGGTTCGCAGAAAGGATGCTGGAATTGCTGCACGGCAACATCGTTTTGTTCATGAGTGACGAGGCCCATTTTCATTTATCGGGCATGGTAAACAAACAAAACTTCCGATACTGGGCACACGAAAAGCCACGAGAACTGCATGAACAACCTCTGCACTCTGAGAGGGTAACTGTTTGGTGTGCCGTATCTGGAAATTGCATAATTGGTCCGTATTTTTTTCGTGAAAACGGACGAACAGTGTCAGTGAACTCAGATCGTTATTGCGCCATGTTGCGTGATTATTTTCTGCCCGAACTAAGAAGACGACGCATTGACATCAATACAGTTTGGTTCCAACAAGATGGGGCGGCTTGCCATACATCAACAGCTGCAATGGGCTTTTTAAGGGAACATTTTTCTGCGCGCCTTATTTCGTTGCATGGAAATGTGGAATGGCCACCTCGGTCACCAGACCTTTCATGTTGTGACTACTTTTTATGGGGCTATTTAAAATCCAAAGTTTACATAGACAAACCGCAAACTCTTGAGAGTATTAATGATTTTACAATCCGTCTCCAAGAATGCATCGACAAGAATGGACGCCACCTAACTGATGTAATTTTTCGCACCTGTTATGTTACTTAAATGGCATCATTTCACTAATGTATTAAAATAATAAATTTTGATGTATGTTTAAAAGTGAAAGTTTGTAATTTTTTTCAAAAACACCATACTTCATTGCCGGACCCTGTACTATGTAACAGTGGTATTGTAGCATTAATGCTAAATAAATCTACAACAAGGAATCAATTCCTTTTTACGCATGTTTCAGACTTTTTCAAAGCATAGATCTATATTCTGAAAATGAAAGCCAAAACGTTAGTAGAGAGTAGTTTCCATATATATGTGGTTTCATAGGCACTTATAACAGGACTTTATTAGGCAGGTTCTCTATTTCATATACATTCAATGGTCTCTCTAGGACATATAATATTTTTTTCACTACTAAGCAGAGAAATCATTTTTGATCTCAATGACCCACAGAAGTAGCTTTTTTCTCCCTTGGTAAATCCTAGATGAATGATAATGAGATTTTATCCTACTAAGATTATGTCAGTTTGACCACTAACCTTTATATTCAGAAATATTTAAAAAAAAGAGAGAAATACCTCATAATAGATATAGCTCGTCATGTAGCTACCCTTCTTGGGCAGTTCAATAATAATAATAATAATCCGGCCATATCCGTTTGCTGTTCTATTAGTTTGAGTTTGTCAGTTTGACACCATGCGTACTAGATGTTTCAAAGTATTTGTAAAATGAGTATGAAACATCATGATATCTGGTTTTTTGTAAGGGCTTCGTAAATGACTCTATTTCCATGAAATTATTGTGTTTGCAAATAACAGTAAATCTTATGCAGACATGTTCAAAAAATCTACACATGAAAATATCAACGTTAGTTTGCCATCTCAAAAAAAAAACGGAAAAATATACTAAAAATAGAAACAATACAACTGGACAAACCAATTGTTATTAAACCTATTAATTCAAATCAAAGTTGTACACAAACAAAGAAGGAGTTGAGCAAGTGATGAAGTAATGAAGAATTGGTCAGAGACCTGAAGTGAGAAACAACGTTATAAACAGTGACGCTTCGATTAAAGTGGTGGCAATTAAAAAAATGAAATTTCGGTATATGGCAATTTTGGAATTGGATAGATCGATATTTGAAGCAGTAAAGAAAGCTGGATTATTGTTTGATCCATGAATGTTTGTACAATTTTTGAGCATTACGATCTTCTGAGGTGTTTTAACTGTGGCGGATTTTACCACACAGCGAAAAATTGCACCAAGACCAGTATTTATTTATAATGTGGTAATAGTGATCATCAGGTCCAGAAATGTGTGAAATCGAAATAACATATCCAAATTGCAAAGAATTGAATTGGAAGTACAATACAAATTTCGATATAAATCACTCATCCTTCCACTATACCTGTAACATGGTCCAAATCGAATATGAAAAAAAAAGTTTCTTATGGTGACAGATAGCAATTACAGGCCAAAAACTATTCTAACCACGTATACCATATAAATATACAAGTATTTTTATCACACATGGATGAAGTTATAATTTTTTTTAATATCAGTGAAACTTCTGACAGGGAGAAATTTTTAACGAAATTGCTTTACTATGGATTTAAAGGTTCAGTATTCAACATATTACAAAATTATTTGATCAATAGAAGTCAAAGAAATAATACATTTTAAGCATTGCTATTTATTGTATATATTAATGATATTCCTGATGTTTTACAACACTGCAAAATTCAAATATTTGCTGATGATATATTAATATATATATATATATATATATATATATATATATATATATATAGGTGAAAAATTAAAGCTTCCGCCTTTTGTTGGGTACTTCGACAAAATTTAAGCAAAGAGGACTCTTTATACTTTTTTTAATTCTCTCTAGCTTTCAATGGACTTTGCCATCATCATCAGGAGAGTAGTATGTGAGGATGTTGCTAATTGTTGTTTTCGTATAGGATGAGCTAAACGTCCAGTAACATGGTGAGAGCTGGATACATGTTACTTGACGTTTCCCTCATCCTATACGAAAACAACAATTAGCAACATCCTCACATACTACTCTCCTGATGATGATGGCAAAGTCCATTGAAAGCTAGAGAGAATTAAAAAAAGTATAAACTCTTTGCTTACATTTTGTCGAAGTACCCAACAAAAGGCGAAAGCTTTAATTTTTCACCTAACTGGTCTAGACGACAATGACCACGTCTCAAAATATATATATATATGTAGATTCTGATGGATCGGTCCTCCACTCATGGGCTTTTTAGAGTCGATAGGTCCTCCGCTCTGATAGGTCCTCCGTATAAGGAGGACCTATCGCAAATTCCACCTATCGGCCCCTCAGGCCCCCCTCTGTCACCTGGCAAAATTTCAGAGGGATGACCTAGATCATGTTTTTCGCCGAATTTGGGTACCGTAGTTCAGGGTTTTGCCGCGCCGATTTGGTGGACTCACGATCGCTTGGGTATTCAGCCCGTATATTATCAAATATTACCAGTCAGGTCTACAGTGGATCGGTCATCTGCCGGGTATTCAGTATCCAGATTATCGCTTTTAGAT